ATGGAACATGGCAAATCAGTTGGTGCAAGCAGCAGTGAGCTGTGTTTGTGTACTGATTTCACTCAGAAAATCCATAACATCTTGGCAAGCAGCAACGACAGCGCGAGCGCGGGAGGCAGAGCGGGGAAACCGTGGGATAACACAGCGAGTAACAAGGTCTCCCCCTGATTTTTGATACTCCTAGGATTTTTGATACTCCTAGGATTGCAGCAATCCCCCACGTGTTCAAATAGTAACTGAGCACGACGTTGCCTGTGCTTCAGAAAACATTCTCCTCGCTGACGCTGAGAGGTTCCGTGAGCTGCCTGGGATTGCACAACCACGGGTCAGCAGCCAGGAATAGCACCCCCAGCATCTGAGCCCTCCAGAGCTGGAGAATCCTTCTGCCAGCTGAGCTGCTCCAGGTGTTGAACAGGACTAAATTGTCCAGGCTGGACTGGGGCCAAAGCTGGAGGGACAAGGACTGCTTGTGGTAGAAGTGCTGTGACGTCTTGGGTGACTCCAGGCACTCACAGCCTTAGATTGACTGATTCCTCATGGAAGCAAGGACAGCACGCTGAAGAGAGATCGTACCCTCTTCCATAAGTCATGGAATCATGGAATGTTAGGGGGTGGAAGGCTGGAAGTGATCTTAAAGGTTTGGCTTAGAAGGGACCTTAAAGTTCATCCAGTGCCACCCCCCTGCTGTGGCAGGGACACCTTCCACTGTCCCAGGTGGCTCCAAGCCCTGTCCAGGGGGCACTTCCAGACATGAGGCAGCCACAGCTTCTCTGAGAACCTGTTCACCATCCCTCCCAGGGAAGAATTCCTTCCCAATATCCCATCTATCCCTGCCCTCTGGCAGTGGGTAGCCAGTTAAAGAGAGGGCACGGAGCTCTGCTCTAAGGCAGAGGGATGTGACCACTTCCTGAGCCATCAGCAGCTTTTCTGCAGTGCTCTGGATTTTCCCTGAAGAGCCCAGCCTGTCCAATGCTGTTTATCCTGCAAATCTGGTGAGATCAATGTCCACAAATCAAGGAAGTGGGAAATCACAGACCCAGGACAAGAGGAGCTGTTTTCCAGCTTAAAATATACACATTACAAAAACCAAAGCAAAACTCTTCAGCATTTCTATTGGGATATTCTCTCTTTGATGTGTCCTCCCTCCAAGGATGGGAGCAGTTTTTTAGGAGGCAGGAGCAGTCTTTGCTTCTTATTACAAAGCAGAAATCTCAGTGTAGTCCCATGCCAAAAAAACATGCTGCAAATACTCTCTGTGGCAAGCAGGGCTTGCAGACAGGGTTTGTTCATCTGTCTCGGCCTGCCTTGCCATACTTTTCTGTCCCTCTTGCCAAATGGAAAATAAATCATTCTCTCCTCTCTGTTCTGGTTATAATTGGCTGGATGTGCCATCAGCTGGCTCATCCCTGCTCAGAGCTTGGGAAGGCATAAACACTTCCAGGATTACAGAAAATGAGGACACTAACTTTGGGACCCATCCAAAGCCCTTTAGTGAGCGTGAGGACTAATTGACTACAGCAAGAGCTACATCAGCTCCTTAATTGCTGGGGGAAATGAAACAATACCATTTCCCGTTTCACTACATCCTTTTTCAAGAGCCCTGTGGTAAGGGCTGCGAGCTGCCTGCCTCAGACAGCAGCACTGAAGGCTCCAGGCCATTACTCTGGGAATATTTTCCAAGGAAGGTGCTCAGACAGTGCCACAGAGCATGGGAGATGATGATAATGCACTTTTCCTGTTTCCCCTACTGTCACAAACAAAGCTGGTTGATTCAGATAATGAATTTGGTAAGATAGGGGAGAAAGCAGCAATTTTAGACTTCGATGACTGAAGCTGAAGGTGATATTCAGTTATAACCTCCCTGTTCCACACCAGCTCTCCACCTTCTGGGCCTCATGGACCTTGGATGTGCCCAAGCTCCAAAACTATTGTGTGTTGCTCCACAAGAACAGCACTGGAAATTGGAGACAGCAGTTGTTTCTCCTCTCTGAAGTGATGAAGGGCTGGCATTCCCTCACTCTGTCCCGTTAGAAGGGGAAACATGGTCACACAGAGCACGGGGAGCTTTGCCTCAGGCTTTGCTAACATCAGTGTGGGATGGAGGTGGGTGCTGCCTTTTCCCTTTGCCCTTCCTCATCTGCAGGAAATCAGCACGGGGCAATGGAGCTCCCTGGGAACTGGCATGGATCTGTCCATCACAGCCCTTTCCACTCCTGCCTTCTGCTGGCTTGGACTGGGAAGGGGGTCAGTGGGCCAAGGGAAGTCTGATGGGTGAGAAATGTGGCTCAGCACCCACGGAGCCAAGACTGTGGTGTCAGGTTATAGGGGTCAGGTGGGTGAGGGAAAGGAGAGAAGGTTGTAGGGTGATTAGGCAGCAGGAGCATTCAGTGGGAAAGGAGAAAGAATAAAGTTCAGATAAAAATATAAAAGCAAAAGAGGGGAAAGCATGTGTGTGCTGCAGACTGCTGTGGTTCTGCTCCAGGCAGTGTCACCCAGGACATCTTTTGTTTCATTCACACGAAAATCCTTGCCATCAGTACTTTCCCCTGTCCCCTCCATGAATCCATCACTTCCTAAACAAACAGACATGACCTTCAAAAGCTGTGTCAGAACCTTTAAGCACCAGCTGAGCATAAAATAATGTGGGAAAAGCCACGTGATTCCCTACAGGTGGAAAACAGCTCCAGCCGTATTTCCAAAGGTTTGGTGTTTGGTTTACATGACTCACTGCCCACGTGCCTTGGTTTACATGCTTGGAGCAGCTTTTTGTAATGTAATCAGAACTGTGGGCACTCCATTTGTCCATCACCGAGGCCCCAAAGGATTAGCACAGCACTAAAAATGACACCTCATCCTGCCCGTGGGCAGAGCCAGGGGTGGAATGCTCAGCCTGGGAGAAGCCAAGCATTTGCTCATCCCAGGGCTGGGGCAATATTGTTTGTACCACGAGCCAGGCAGCCTGGACTCCTCATGTCATCATCCCGTATCCACGGCCATCCAGACCCTTGGCAATCAGGGTTTCCTGACCCCGACAACAACAGCTGCCCACCAGACCCTTGGCAAAATCTGTGGGCAGCTCAAGCATCTCGTCTGGTCTGGTGGGACTCCGAAGGACTGTGAGCAGGAGGACAAGGAGGGTGGTTCTCCCCTCTTCTCTGCTCTCATGAAATCCCACTGGAGCTCCATGTCCAGCCCTGGAACCCTCAATGTCAGGAGGATGTGGAGCTGATGGACAGAGTCCAGAGGAGCCAGGGATGCTCCAAAAGCTGGGAAAACTGCTCTGGAGCCAGGCTGGGAGAGCTGGGGGTGCTCACCTGGAGAGGAGAAGGCTCCAGGGAGAGCTCAAAGCCATTCCAAGGCCTGAAGGGTCCCCAGGAGAGCTGGAGAGGGACTGGGGACAAGGGATGGAGGGACAGCACACAGGGAATGGCTCCCGCTGCCAGAGGGCAGGGATGGATGAGATTTTGGGCAGGAATTCCTCCCTGTGAGGGTGCTGAGGCCCTGGCACAGGTTGCCCAGAGCAGCTGTGGCTGCTCCTGGATCCCTGGCAGTGCCCAAAGCCAGTTTGGACAGGGCTTGGAGCAACCTGGGACAGTGGAAAGTGCCCCTGCCATGGCAGGGGGTGGAATGGGATGATTTTAAGGTCCCTTCCCACCCAAACCATTGTGGGATTCTACGGTGTCCAAAGGTCTGCTCCTCCTTCATCCTCTGCCAGCTCCTTGCTCTGCAGAGCAGCCTCTGCGCAGAGATTCTCGTGGGCGATGCTCTCAGACTTTCTGCATCAATTAAATCCCTGTTTTCCTGTCTTCTGCCAATTTGGGGATTTGTTGCTGGATTGTCATGGTGACTGCATCCGTGGGACCCTCGCTGAGGGTGAGGCCCCTCCATTAGGATTCAGGGCGGCGCTTCAGGCAGCATCACTGGAGACCCTCTTGTGCTGAGCACTCTCTGAGAGCAGGGAGCTCAATCCACTGCAGAAATCCAGCTGAATAGCGTCTCTCCACAGCAAACGAGGCTGGCTTTAATTTTTGTTAATTATGTGGAAGCAACTTGATTTCCTCGTGAGGCTGTTGTCAGCACAGCCCTCGCAGTCTATTCCTGGCCGGCAGCAGGAGGATGCTTAGGAAACCCAAAGGACTCTGCAGCTGTTTTGCAGAACAACATGGAATAAAAAGGAGCTATTTCAAAAAAAAAAAGGACAAAACCCAAGATGTTTCTTGTGGAACACCGTAGCAAGGAGGAGCCATTTGTAAAAAAATCTGAGGTCCGGCTGGTAGAAAAGCAGGGAAAAGAAGGAATGGGGAGTAAAATACAACGAAACAATCAAAAGAGGTGCAGAAAAGGGGATTTTTGTAAGGAAATAGATTTCTCAGGCAGCACCGCGGGCATGGCGGTGAAGATCGGGCAGGGCCGGGGAGGCGGAGGCGTAGGACCAAGAGCGCTGCGTGCGGGGCAGTGTCTCGAGGAGCCTCGTTAGCGCAGTAGGTAGCGCGTCAGTCTCATAATCTGAAGGTCGTGAGTTCGATCCTCACACGGGGCAGAGATGGTTTCCTCGTTTTTTTCTTTTTTTTTTTCTTCTCCCCCGCAGCCAGACTTTCCCAAGGGAAGGGATGTCTGTTTTTCCCATGGAATTGCAGCAGGAGGCGAGACACACGCGGTGAACGCGTCCCCAGCCCTGCAGCGGCCCGCAGCGCGCCCGGTTCCCGGGCACCGGCGCCGCCATGGCGCTGTCGGTGCGCCCGCTAGGGGGCCGCACCTCGGTGTCGGTGAGGGACCGGCGTCCGCTACCGGCGGGGGCGTGGCGCGGCCGGATCAGGAGGCGCTGATTGGAGGATCCGCGCGGTGGGCGGGGCCTAGCGGCGGGGTGTGCCGCGCTGATTGGCGGGCCTTAGCGGTGGGCGGGGCCAGAGGCGGGTGTGCCGCGCTGATTGGCGGGGCTTCGCGGCGGGCACGGGCCGCGGCGGGCAGGGCGGCGCGGCGGCGGCAGAGCGGCGGCGGCCATGGCCGTGTGCGCCCGGCTGTGCGGCGTGGGGCCGGCCCGCGGCTGCCGCCGGCGCGGCTCGGCCAGGGAGCAGCGCTGCGGCACCGCCGACAGCGAGCCCGACACCGACACGGACCCCGAGGAAGCGGGAGGCGGCGGCGTCACGGAGGACGATGAAGCCGCGGAGCGCATTGAAGGCGGGCGGCCGCTGCCGCCTTCTGTCGTGGCCTGCCCGGCCGCGCGGGCTCCGCTGTCCTTGTTGGAGTTACCCCCGGAGCTGCTGGTGCAGATCTTCGGCTCCCTGCCCGGTACCGACCTGCCCAGCCTGGCCCGAGTGTGCACCACCTTCCGCCGCATCCTCAGCACCGACACGATCTGGCGGCGGCGCTGCCGCGAAGGTACCGAGCGATGCGCGGCCGGGGCCGCGGGGGAGGCACGGGCTGCGGCCGCCGGGGTGCCACGGAGGGGATGGACGCGGGAGGGGACGGAAAGCACGTTTGGGCTGCGGGCTCGCAGGGCTCCCACGGGTGCGGGGCGCAGAAACGGGCACGGCTCGGTCCCTCGGGATGCACTCGGTCCCTCGGGACGCGTCCCTTGGTGGTGGCACTTGGCTTGGGGCTGGGGCAGGGCAGAGATCAGGTTTGGGGTGCTGGGCTCCCACCTGTGCGGAAGCGGGCGCGGCTCGGTCCCTTGGGATGCGCTGCCTTGGTGGTGGCACTTGCGGCAAAGGGCATCGAGCTGGGCTTGTCCCCCGGGGAAATGGGATGGGAGCAGGCGCTGGGAGATGATGCCTCCTCCGTGTAGCATGGCCTCGGGGAATCTCGGGGACAGGGAATGCTCACCGGGGGAGAAAAGGGGGACCTTGGGATTCCTGGGGATACACCGGGAGCTGGGCCCGGAGGAGGCCAAGCCTGGGTAAGGGCATCTTTGGGGAGCTGCAGAGCCGCTGTGCAGAGCTCCCAGGTCCGGGTGTGCCTTTTCCAGGAATCCTCTGGAGCAAGGATGCTGTGCTGCTGATGTGAAGGCCCGGGAGGCCGCGGTTCTCCCTCCTTACTCCTCATCCTCTTCCTCCCTCCGCTGTGGCTCTCTGTGCTCTCTATTTCAGTCCTGTCCCACCTCCCAGGGCTGTGCTCATCCTCTCTCCAAACGCTGCCATCCTGCCAGCGCATGAAGTCATGTGTATTTTCCTGTTTGCTTTCTGTTTTTAATACCACGGGGATGGGAGATTTGGGGATGTCAGTGGCTGCCTGCAGTGGGATCTGGTGGAATGCCTGAAACCTTGCAGGAAGGAATTTGTGCCTTATCAGCACTACCCAAGAACCTTTGGACAGCACAAAGGCTGCACCTGGAAAATGTGAACCAAAGCATTATTTCATAATTCAGCATTGTCCCGATAATTTAACCCTGGTTTTAGGAGACAGGCTAATGAGATGGTGTTAATACTTCTTTCCGGTGGCATGGAGATTTGTGTGTTTGATGAATGGCTTGCAAAACTTCCCTGATTAATTATTTTAATAGGTTATGATCCTGGCAAAATATGTATATAGAAATCTATGTCACTTTTAACTCTAGGCTAGGTTGGCTTGTAAAAAAGACCTACTGACTTAGGTCTGATGGGGATGTACATTTATTTATCAAATTCACGTCTGCTCCTTGGATTTTCTTTCCAATGTTCAAAAGCTCAGCTGAAATTTAAGGAAATGAAGGAAACAGTAGAATTTGTATGGATAAAACTAACCTGGACACGAGGGGAAGGTATCAAGACAGCACTTTTGTCTATGGCCCTTAGCTTACTGCCAGGTGAGAGGGGTATAAACCAAATTTTGATTCTCTCTGCATGTAATTTCTCCAGTTTCCCAACATATCCATCCCAAGCAGTGTCAGAGAGTGCTTTGGTGGCTGCTGCAGTGGCTCCTGTACCAAAGGCAGGTACCCAAGCCGTGCTGAACAGAAAAGGGACAGTTCCTGGCCAAAATCTTCCTGCCATGGAGAAACTGATTTTGAATCTCTTAACCAGCTCTGGTTTTCCAAGCAGTTCCTCAGCTGGACTTCTCAGGCTGTTTGTGGTGCTTTGCATTTGAATGGTTGTACATATGAGTATAAAATTGGGCATTATTTTATAGGTAAACATCAGGTGTTGGTAAATAAATACACATTTAAAACTTAAAATATTCTGTGCTGTGCCTCTGCACAGCCATACACTGATAGTCAAACATAAAATGTAAACACAAAATGTCATCGTTTTTTGTAATCTTTTCCAAAACTAATTCCTATCTGAGCTCAGTGTTTGTGTCTGCCTGAGCCTTGTTGTGAGGCTGCATGTCCTAAAAACAGAACAGGAGCACGTGTGCCTTGCTGCTTTATTCACTCTGAAGCCTCCTGATGATCATGGAATCACAGAATATCCTGAGTTGGAAGGGCTCCACGAGGATCATCCGAACCCAGCACGACGTTCCAGAAGTAGCTGGGAAACTTCATCTTGCTGTCAGCTGCATGTGCAAAACCACTTCTGTTTTTAGGAGTGCGCAGCAGCGCAGAGGCAGGAAAGAATCCTGAAATAATCAGATCAGAGAGAAGCTTCTCTGGGAGAAGCTGTTGTTGCAGGGCTTTGTTTTGGCTGGTTTTCCTCTCCCTTGGGCAGGAGCAGCCTGGCTGTGCCCCAGGCTGGATGGAGCCTCAGTCCATGCAGTGTTGGTGACTCGTTCTGCCCTGCTCTGGGCCAGCCCAGCTGTAGGTCAGTCTGAAAACATGCTGTGATTATTCCAAGTGTCCAAAGGACTTGTCTGCCTGAAAGTGGAGTGGCTTTTGCTGCTGGTGGGGAGCTGGGGTGGAGCAGGGGGAGTTGTGTAACCCTGACACGACTGGCAGAGCTGTTGTCCTTTTATCATTGCAACTGTTTGGGGTAAACAATGTCTCTGGGTTGCTTCCTTGGCAGTCACTTCCATGTTTTCTATAAATAGGAGATTGCTGGTCTCTGCAGCAGGAGCAGAATTAAAGCTCGTGTCACCCTGGCTGGTGGCCTGACCTACCTTGATTAACACCTTATAGTCCATTTTTAATCTTTCATTTCTTTCATCTTTAACCAGGGCAGGGCAAGTGCAGCAGAACAGCTGGGAACAGACCAGCAATGCAAAATAACCAGTTCTAGAGCTTGGAAGAAAAGGCTTTTGTTTGTGAAAACAACCTCCAGCAGCTTTTGGGCCTGCTGGAAAATGTCAGCCAAGGTGCTGAAGTTTGTGACCTTCAGGTTGTGTGGAAAGAGGAGGGAAAGAAGGGTGGGAAATGTGGTTTGTACACTCAATAAAGAGACTTTTGGGTGGGGTTCAGCTCTTAAAAGTCTCCAAGCCATCCATGCAGGAGTTTGATGCACAAATGCTGCCACAACATTTCTTGCAGAGCTGTGCCCTGGTGAGGGTGGCTTTCATAAGTCACAAGGCTCCAACCTCCCTTTGAGGGTGTTAGTTTGTGGCTTTTCTTCCTCTCTGATGACCTTTCCAGGCTTTTAAACTCCAGCCTGGCAGTGCTTGGCTGTTCCTCACTGCTCAGGCAGGTGCTCAACACTCTCAGCTGCCCTTCAGAGAGTCTCAGACCTGTCTGCAAGCTGCACATCTGAAGCTGCCCACCCTCTGCTTTAGGGTTTCCACAAATGGGTGCATTCATTGCACATCAAATCTCCTGTTCCTCGTTGGGAACCCCAGGCCTTCCCCTGGAAGAAATGTTTGGGAGAGGACTGGGTGTGTTTTAATCTGATTGCTCAACCTCTGGAAACAAGCAGCCAGTTCTAAATTTGTCCACCTGGTACTTCTGAGCTGGTAACCTGAGAATCTCCCATTTTTCTGGGATCTGGAATAATCCAGTGAATTTTTATCCTCTCTGTTCTATATCCAGCCTTGTGAACATGCATTTATCCAGAGATAATTGGAAGATTTGATTAGCCAGGACACAGTGGAAGTTCAGTAATGATCAAGCTCTGCCAGACATCCTCATTTCCTCAAAATTGTGGATGTGTACACCCAGCTTCCAGCAGCTCCCTGGCATTGCCATGCTGGGAAGGGCAGCAGAAAAGCAGGAATTTGGGCTTTGATGTGAGCACTGGGGTTATTCCCAACCCAGGATGGAAGAGCCTTGCTTGTTTTTAACCTGAATAGTCCATGCAGGGTGAAGGTGGCACAGCTTCTCCTGGGGAGGAGCAGGGAAGGTGAGGCCTGGGAGTGCTGGGAGCAGGGCAGGGATAAATGCCACTTGCAGAAGTGTTAGTGCAGCTCATACCAAATGGAGACTTGCTTCTCCAAGTCCTTCAAATCCCGTGCATGTGACCATGGAAACAGCAGCATGTCCCTGTGCTTGGGAAATCAGCACTCCTTATAAACCAGCAGCCTTTCCAGCTGGTCAGTGGGAACCTGAAAACCAATTTCCAGCCTTCCTTTGCAAGCAGGATTAAGTAGCCATTTTCCAAGGGTGTGAATTTTGGTGACTATTAAAATAAAAATACTTTACTCTCAGATACGTTTCCTTAAAATAGATTTAATTGCAGTGAAGTGGAATTTTCCAGGAAGCTCAAGCCCTTCAGATCTTTCTTGGAAAGGGATTTCTGTTCTCTGTAAAGAAAACCTTTTTATTTTTCTCTCATTATCTTGAAGCTATGTTTGCTGTTGATTTATGTCCCTCTTGTCTTCTGGGTTAAAAGGAGATGGGTCAAAAGCTTTTCTTGCTTATGACATTTGGAGTTTTGTTTTTTTTTTAGCCACTGTGAGCCAAAAAATTGATTTTTCCCATAAAATGGCCATGCTGGTATGAGCAGCTGGGTCAGAAGAGGTGCAGTAATGCACTTATGGAGCTCAGCCATCACTGTGGCATTTTCACTCTCTGTAGCTGTTTGCTGACCAAACCAGGATAAGAATTGGTTATAAAATGAGTCTTAAAGCACATTAGGATGAGATTATTTTTTTCTTGCTAATACTCTCTTGGATACCTAGTGACAAATAGTGTGTAGCAATATAGAAATCCTATTTTTTTATTATTATTATTTAGAGGAGTTTATTTGAATCTTTCCAGTTAAGATTGGAATTACAACCACTTTATTAACGGTTTGGCTTTCATAAAATTTCACTGCAGGTTTTCAGGGGCCTTTGCATGAAGCTTTGCCATCAAATCCCTTCCCACCCTGGTATTTGGAGGTAACTGCTGGTGGTGGATCTCCCATGGCACTTGCTTGAGGGATTCATGGATTAGGGAGAAGGCTTTGGGAAACTGTGGGAGGAGGGAATGTCACTCTTGGTGCTGTTGGAGATTCCACTTGGGAAGGATCTTCCACGTGTCTCCTCCCCTTGCCCTGCAGTACAAATCCCTTCCCTGCCTGCAGTGGCCAGGGCTCATCTCACCTGTCCTGGGGATGCCATGGGAGGGCTGAGCTGGAACAGAGCTGGGCAGAGCTAAGGAATAAATCAGGGATTTATTAAAGGATCTCCTCCATGTAGCCACCTTGGGCAGCACCAGAGCCCAGCCAGGGCTGCACCCAAGATGAACCAAAACGGTCCCAAAATGAACCCAAGGTGAACCAAAATGGTCCCAAAAGAAACCCAAGATGAACCAAAACGCTCCCAAAATGCACAAGCGCTCTGGGGGCTCTCCCTGGGATCAGTTCTGCTCCATTGGCACCTTGGAGTTCCTTGTCCCATTCCAGCTCCAGCCCATCAGTCCCACCCTGCTTGTTTTTCTCTCTCCAGCCCACGCTGTTTGTGCTCCTGGGCTGAGGTTTGGATCATTTGTCCTTGGTGCCCAGCTGGAGCAGGAATTGTTTTGTTTCCCTGCTCTGTGCACAGAGCTCACCATCCTCTGATATGAAGCCCAGACCCACACACCAAAGCAGCACAGAATGTAAAAATATCTAAGTTAAAACCTGAGGCGTCACCGGGGCCAAGTGAGTTTTGTTTAGGTGCACAAGAGTTGCCTGTTCCCAAGCCATGCTCTTCCTGCCCTTTTCCAAGGACTTTCCAGTCAGCTGAGGACATTCTACACTATTCCTGCATCCCTTGGATGTATTTGCTTCCCCTGGCTGTGTTCTCCCATCCCTCTCTCACGTGCAGAGCAGTGCTGGGAAGCCTGGGGGGCTCTGGCAGGCTGGCTCTGCACTGCCAGGCTCCCGTGGAGCTGTGGCTCCATGGATCTGCAGCACTCAGCTGGCAGAGCCCCAGCACTCGATGGTTTGTTTGTGCTGGGCTGTTCTTCCTGCGAGCTCAGCTCTGCTAATTGTGCTTCCCCAGCCCACCTTGGGGCTGAGAACCCTCAGAGCTTCCTCTGGCTTTGCCTACAGGAGCCAGCAGGAATTCTGCCACTGGCCCTGGCATTTTTTGATGGAGGGATTTTTGGATGGAGTGTGTTTTGTCGTGCCCTGTGCCCCCCTCATCTTGCAGGATGTTTATTCCCTGGAGACAGGCTGCCAGTAAAGCTCTCTCCTCGTGTGCTTGTATTTATAGACAGGAGGAGGCTGAATTAATTCAGGGAACCTCCTGCTTTTCTCATATTTGAAACCTGAGTTCTCTCCTGCAGCAGGTTTCCAGCGTTAGGTGGTGCTTCACAGCCACAGTTGTTGATTCAAGGATGCTCAGCTGAGGATACACTTTTTGTTTTTAATGACTTGATGAGGGTCTACAGAGGTACAGTTTTGTGTCAAATACCTGGCAGGTGTTTGTGCTGCTGAGGAAAGCTCCTGTTTGATCTGTGCATGTAAAGGAGGGCACTTCTCTGTACTGAGATCTGTCAGGGTCACTGCAGCAGGGTGGCATTGTCACTGCTCATTTTTTGGGATCTCCCTCCTCTCATTTCCTCCCTCTGCTCTTCTGAGAATTCCTGGCATCAAGACATTAATACTTGCTTTTATTTTTTTTCCAAGTTTCTTAGAAGTTCAACGTTGACTTCCTGAAAATGAGAGAATCTCATTTTCTGCTTCAAAGCTGCTCCGAAATCTCCAACTCCCTTTGTTTTCAGGGGGTTTTGGAAGCAATCAAAGGCATCTGACTGTACAGCAGCCCTGTCTCAATCTGATCTGCTTTCAGTGTAACCATATTTATACATGCTGGGGCCTGTTTTATGTCTCTATTTCATTGTTTTCCGAGCCTGTGACCTTTCCTTTAGGACCCTGATAAGCAGTTTTCCCTGTCGGTACCTCGGTGGGAGCAGCTAATTGCTGCACACAGCAGTGATTTCCTGGGAACAGGCACACAATCCCAGCTGGAATGGGGATGTCTCCCACATTTCACACCCCTCCTGGCCGAGATGTGAGCAGCTGGGACTTTGCTGGGTGTGTTTGTTGCAGGCATTGCTTGTGAAACGTCTTGGACTCTGCCATGGAATCCGGTTTTTAAAGCAAAAAATCCAATTCTTGGTCTGCCTTGGCAGCTTCAAGAAAGCACAAATCAGATCTCAGTAGCTGATGTCAAGACTCCAAAACTTTTTGTGCCAGAGTTGACTCTTTTTTTCCTGTGTTGTTGCAGAATATGGAGTGTGTGAAAACCTGAGGAAGCTGGAGATCACAGGAGTGTCCTGTCAAGATGTTTACGCCAAACGTAAGTGATGAAGCCAATCCAAATCTTGCTTAATACCAATTTGGAGAGCACAGAAATGTTGAATATTTATTAAACTTTGATGGCAGAAGTTGTTCAGGCTGATTTGCAAGGCTTTCGTTGGGAAGTTGACATGTTTGGAGTTTTATTTAATACCAAGAGTCAGGATTTCTGTGCCTCCCAATCCTTTGGTGGGAAAAGAGGATGGAATTTAATTTTTTTAATGAGGTGTATTGAGGGTTTTTACATCCTATTTTGCTATTTTCAGATCTTGCTAAGGAATTAACGGATTTTTTTTTTTTTCTAAGCTTTGATCTCAGTGAAAGGAAATGGCTGTAGGAGAGTGGGAAAGGGATGAGCATTCCCTGAAGGAAGAGAGCCTGGCAGGAGGTGTCTGTGTGTTTTGGGAATGTCTCTGGGTGTGGGACCCTTTAGAACCTTGAAGTATCAATGACCTCAAGCACTGATCTTAAAGCTGGGAAGAAGAACAGGCAGAAGGGCTTTAATCCCATCTTTAACAGATTTGCTGAGCATCCACAGGAAAATTATTTCATCACCTAATATCTCTCCCTATTGCACACCACTCTAGGGATGGAACTGCCTCATTTTCCTGGCTGGGAGGGCTGAGTGATGCTGAGCCAGCACACAGATATCCCCAAAGGAATCCCATTAACCCTCGAGGCCTCCCTTAATTCCAGTTTAATCCCATATCTTTGTGTGGTGGCAGCCACCACACAGCACATACCAGGTCAGATCTCAGCTCTTCATTGCCATTTTTAATTGGCACAACACCTCTTCAGGGCCTGTAGTCCTTTTCACTGCAGAACTTCTGTGGTTCAGAGACACCAAAGTGATATTTAGTGGTTTTTATGCACAAGTTTTGGGTAAAAATGGCCTTACTGGCTCAGGGCAGTGGTGACTCTCCAGCGCAGTATCTCCCAGCCATGGCTGTGGGCGGGGAGGCTGAGGAGAGGACAAGCCTGTGGCATATTTTCCTAAACATTCCCACTGTTTCCAGCTTTCCAGAGTGTAATCAGGTTATTTATTTTAATAACCTGCAATAAATCTGTCTCACACCTAAGTTTCCATGCATAGCTTCCAAATCCATGTCATCCATTAGCAAAGGGTCACACTTGATGTGTGAGGAGCACCCCTGTGATGGCCTTTCCTGCCCTTCTGTGGAAGGTTTGTGTTTGTACCCCCGCAGCAATCCCAAGCAGGGATGGTTACTCCAAAGTGGGAATGCTTGGCAGCTGTTCCTGGATTTCAGGATGCCCCATGTCAGCTGCTCTGCTCAGATTCTGCACTTTGCCATGTGCCAGGAGCAGTTTCCATTTTCTCTACTGGCCCATAAACCCCTTTAATTGCAGAGGAGTTAATCTGGGATTACTGCATGGACTTTTCCATTCCCTGAGTGTGCTTCTGTGAGAAATGGTGTGGGAAAATGGGAGCTGAGCTCAAGTGCCTGAAAGCAGAGCTAATCCAAGGCCTGGGCTGCTGCCCGTGGAGTGACTTGTTCTTCTCGAGGCAGCAGTGCAGAATTTGAGGAAGGACTTGGATTCCACTGGCTGCCAATTGTAAATAATGTCTGTGGCAACCTGGAACAAATTCTGTGTGAGAAATCCTGCTCACGTGAGGCTGAGGGTGACGGAAACAACAGGAAGCAAAGTCAGGAGAGAGCAGGACTCTCCTGCGTGGTTGATGCAGCTCCCTGGAAGTGTTTGCTGCTCCCAGTGGAGCAGAGTTTGCTGGCACTCACCCTGCTCTGTCTGTTCAGGTATAAACCCTCGGGTGAAGTCGGGGCGTTTTATGAAAATCCTGCCCGACTACGAGCACATGGAGTACAGAGATGTTTACACCTGCCGTACGTACCCCGCTGCTGCCGCTGCTGCTTCTGCACCCAGCACGCCCGGGCTGCTGCATGGAGTGTGCCCTGCCTTGGGGCAAAGCACTGGGGCTGACCCTGGCACAGCAGGGAGGTGCCACCAGTGCTGGCTTCTCGGGGTCTGCGGTGCTGGGGTGACCCCAGGAGTGTAAAAGTCCTTTCCCAGCCCGTGCTGCCAAAGAAGGAATCTGAAATGCGTAGGGTCGCCTTCTCAAGGTTGTTTATTTTTCCTTATCTGGAACATTCTTTCTCTGACCTGCTGAGCTCTGTCTAGCAAGGAAGCCATGGCATTTTGTGTGCTTCTTCGGGCAGCATTTACATTTTATACCCAAAACTACCTGTACTATGTTTACAATAATGTGCCAATATCTATCATTTATGTTGGACAGTGTGTCTCTGCCTTAAACCAATAGAAAAGTTTCACCATCACAGCAAGACATGGAGGACAAGAAGAATGAGAAGAAGGTCAGGACACACCCAAATCCCTCCATCTTGACCCCCTGAATCCTAGTCTAAAAAACCCTGAAATTCTACTTTTCCACCCTGTGCTAACTCAACTATCACACTACTTAAACCCTTGTGGCTTGTAATTCTTCACACAGACTCGGCAGCTTTTTCCACGGGCTAAAATGGAAGCCACAGGTGGTTTTGACTTTGTGCCAAGGTCTCTGAGCCCCCTGCCAGGGTCTGAGGCAGGCAGAGGGATGTCCTGGGCTCCCACAGTGGCTGGTGTGTGTCACAGGAGCCCTGGCACCCCGCAGGGTGGCAGCGTGAGCAGGGTGGGCACTGAGGTGTGCTGGGTTTTTTTGAGGTGCTTCTTTGAGGATCTCTTTGCACACAGCAGGAGCACTCACTCTGCTCCCTGGGAATTGCTCCTTTCTCTGAGGAAAGAATTCAGATACCTTGGTGAGGCCTCCCAAAGGCAGCCCTGGACTGGCAAGGAGCTTTGTCATGATTCAAGTGAGCCACAGTGAAATCCACAGCCCTTTCCAGTAAAAAATGCTGAGTGTTCCCATAGCAATTCCCTCCCTGCACACTGAATCCTTTTAAGCACCAGCTCTTTCTCTAGGCAACATTGTGCTAATGTTTTAAACATTGTGATTTGCCTTCCTCACTTTGGATAACCTTTTTTTCCCCTCCTTGTGTTGTGTTGAGGGAGGAATAGTTAAACCCTCAGAGTTTAGTGTTCAGCAGCAATTGAGGGGGAAGGCTGATTAGTTTACATCAATTAAGAAAGCCAGGACTATTTGGTTTTTATTTGGAGGGGGTGTTGAGCTGTCTCTGATGCTCCTTTGGGTCTGCAGAGTTTGTCAGACTCCAGTTACAAACTCACTGCTGCTTGGGAATGGAGTTTTTCCCACACTTTAATAGTGGATGCTGCAGAATTCCCTGTGCTGAGGGAAGAACTGAGCAGGGGCCATGCAGGGGAGGTGGTGACTTTAATGTGAGTCAGGACAGCCCAGCAGCAGGACTACAGCAGGAATTGGGATGGAGTTTTGGGTTTAATGTGAATCAGGACAGCCCAGCAGCAGGGCTACAGCAGGAATTGGGATGGAGTTTTGGGTTTAATGTGAATCAGGACAGCCCAGCAGCAATTGGGATGAAGTTTTAGGTTTAATGGGAGTCAGGACAGCTCAGCAGCAATTGGGATGAAGTTTTGGGTTTAATGTGAGTCAGGGCAGCCCAGCAGCAGGGCTACAGCAGGAATTGGGATGGAGTTTTGGGTTTAGTGGGAGTCAGGACAGCCAAGCAGCAATTGGGATGAAGTTTTGTGTTTAATGTGAGTCAGGACAGCCCAGCAGCAATTGGGATGAAGTTTTGGGTTTAATGTGAGTCAGGACAGCCCAGCAGCAGGACTACAGCAGGAATTGGGATGAAGTTTTGGGTTTGGTAACCTGTCAGCACCAGCTGTGTTCTGGGGCTGGAGGGAAGGAGAAGCAAATCCAGGCTGCAACATGGATTCCTTTAGAGACTGGATGTTTGCTCCAAACTTCAATGGCATTTAGTTCTGTTCCCTCAGTTGTTATTTCTTTAGCTGCAGCCCCAATTTTCTGATGTGTCCCTTTTCTCTTGGGGAAAAGCTTGGATGTTTGGTGATCTTAGAGGTCTTATCCAGCCTAAATGATTCCGTGGTTCTGAGCCCATGTGGTTTTAGATGCAATGCCCCATTTCCCCTTTTTCCCCCTCCTGTGCTGTCAGGATTTTCCATGGAACTCTTCCCTAATTCCTGTTCATGCAGGGTCAGCCAGGTGAGCTCAGATCATTTTCCCCAGGGTTTTGAGCTCACCTGGATTACTCTGAGCTCTTCCCACGAGCAGGTCATGTATCACCAACCAGGGCCCTGCTTACATTGCTCCAGCTGATTTTGCTTCTAGAGACCTTCCTGCATCCCAGGAATTTGGGGGAATTGCAGTGGGCTGGGTCTTTCCTGGTCAGGATATGCCCAGGCAGCCTTCTGTCAGTGGGAGCTTGGCATTCCCTGCTTTTCCAAGCCCATTCCCAGCTGGATTCAAGCCCCCTTCCCATCTGAAGGGTGTGCAGAGCTGCTTATGGAACGTGGGGAATATCCAGGCTAGGTGAAGCTGTCCTGGAGCATCCAGTGGATGTGGTTTTGTGATTTGGCAGGATGTGGACTCAGAAGTTTGGATAGGCAAGAGGCTTCTCCAGGACTGAGCAGAGGCAGTGGAAAAGCTTGGAGAAAGACCCAAGTGCTGTTTTCTTTCGAGGAGCAGAAAGGAAAAAACTGCCAGATCCACCCTGTCTCCTACCAGGAAGAGCCAGAGCTGGAATTAATCAGGTTTTCCCTGCAATTTATAATAGCTGCTGTTTTGCTGGAGCTCAGACACAGCCCAGGCTTGAAAACTGAGCTGTGTTTTGAGACTTGTTTGGGCCTTTGGCCAAGCACCAGCATTTTCTTCAGTAAGTTCTGGAAGTGGATGGCTTTTTTTTTTTTTTTGGCCTCCTGTGTTCAGAACTCAGCTCTGTTTCTGAAATTGCTCCTGACAGGAGCTGGGCCAGGAGGGGCATCCTCATCCCCCTGGGACAGCTTAGTTTTCTGTCCTAAAAGATAATAATACATTAAAAAAGGCCGGGTTTTATCAGCTCTGTGGCAGACAGGGTAGAAGGCAGAGTGTGGTGGGCGGAACAGCTCATTCCATTAATTAACATGTAATTACTGAGCTGGAAATGGGGTTTGCCTGCTTGCCTTAGTGTTGTTTGTGCTGCACTTGGTTCCCTGGGTGAAACCAGGCCAGTCTGAAGTTGTTTACTGCCCAGGAAAAAGACTCCTCCAGCTCAGCAGCTCTGGACATCCCTCCCTGCCATCCTAAACTCCTGCGGAAATTCTTGCTTTTGGTGGAATAAAACCACTCCTGTAGTTCTTGCTGTCTGAAATAAATAATGCAACAAAGCTGCTGGAACAGCTGCACTGAGACACAATTCTTCTTTTAAATTGATGCAAACACAACCTTATTATTCAAGTCAGTCCTGGAGGTTAAAATGAGTTACTGTGGCCTTCTGAGGTGCCCATGGACATGTGAAATATCAGTGAAATATCTTCTTGCTATCCTCATGGAAACAATGAGGTTTCCATGCTGCTGTTCCTGCCCAAAATGCCAGACTCTGTAATATCTTCTTGTGGAAGGTTACTGGTCTTGTGAGGAAACCAAGATAGACAAAAGGGAATTAGATGGACAAGAGGAATGGCTGTGTGAGGGCTGGAGGCAGGTCCCAGCTCTCAGCTTTCCTCACAACATTCTGTAAAATCCCTTTTTTCCTGCTTGTTGCAAATGTTACTCTATTTAGGTGGGATTGGAGGAACAGCTGGCTCTGAGATGAGAAACAGGGAAGCCTTAACTGCTGGGGTAGATTTTGAGTAGGTTTTGGAAGCAGCTTTTGGGCACTGCTGAGGTGTAGTGTAGAACTGAGCTGAGGTGTAGCTGCTTCTGGAGAATTTTGAAGGCCCTGACTGATGTGGCCACACCACCAGATTCCCAAGCTGGAGTGATCCATGTGCTTTGCCCGTGCTCCCAGTGGCTGTTTCTAAGGATGCTTAACTCTGGAACCAAGTTTGTCTACACAAGGCACTGAAATGCTTTCAAAATACTCCAATTTCCCTGTTCCTTCCTACCTTCCTGCCTTTCCCTGTTTTCTGTTGCTTTGCAGTGTGAAGCATCGAGTGCATTTTTTGTAACTGGAGGCAGCAGATGCTTTTGTTTTTTAGCTCTGGTTATATTGTGTGGTTTGCATTAATGGGACTGTGTTGCAAAAGTTTTTTTGGGAATTCCTGCTGAGGTAGGTGGTTCTGCCCTTCCACAGGGCCAGGAATAAAGAACATAAATGTGAGCTTGGGGGAGGGCTCAGCTTGCACGCACTCACTCCTCCTGAGAAAATGCAGTTGTGGGTGCTGTGTGCAGCCTGGCCAGCAGGGTTTTCATTCCCAAAATCCCAGTTCCTTGGCTGGATGTGCTCACGGAGTGTCTCCCTGTTCCCCAGTGCTGCACCGCTACCGGCACATCCTGGGATTGTGGCAGCCGGACATCGGGCCCTACGGGGGACTGCTGAACGTGGTGGTGAGTGAGAGCCTCAGCCCGGGCCTTCTGGGGGCTCAGAGCTGCTTTTTCACACTTTCCACACTGGCAGCCATTCCCAGACCACTAAAAAGTCTGAGCAGTCAGCCCTCAAATGATTGATTTGGACACAGAGGGTGCTGCATGGTTCTTTGTTGGTTTCTCTTAGGTTAAGCATCGGGAGGAATTCTTTCACAGCAAAGGTTGTTAAACACAGAAGGGGCTGCTCATGGTGGGATCCCCATCCCTGGAGGGGATGTGGCACTCGTTGCTGTGGGTGGGCATTGCTCACAGCTTGGACTTGATGGTCCTGGAGCTCTTTTTCAGCCAGAATGGTTCTGGGATTCTCATCACCACCACCTTTCTCCAGACAGCTTTTATATTTCAGCTCCACACCAAACAGCCCCAGGAGCAGGTAGAAAACACGATCAGTGTTTGAGGGAAAGGCTTGATTTAGAGTTTGACACTGATACTCCAGTGGCTGGCACAGGAGTCTGTTCATTTTCTTCATTTTCTTTGCCTGCAGCTGAACCTTTTGCAAAGGGCTTTGCAGTTGCGTGGTTGGCAATCCTTTGCCCCAGCCCTAAGACTCATCAGGCATCAGGTGCAGAGTGACACTGGTGCAAGATCTGTGGAGCCTGGCAGCTCTGGTGCTGCTGGGAGAGCAGTTAATGAACAACATTTGACTCTGAACTGGGAGGGCTGAGCCAGGAGTTTGCCTGGAGCTCTTGTTCTCTGCACCAAGGTTCAACAACTGCCAGCTCCAAGCGGAACAAATCACGAGGCCTTTGGGTTTTGCAAGATGCTGTTGCCTGAACTGGTGGAAGAGGGCATCCAGCTGCATCAGTACTTCCCCTGGGACCTTAGAAAGACTTTGTGGCACTGCTGTGGTCTCAGGTGTCTCTGTTTGGAGAATATCCTGCCTCTGGAATTGCAGGCTCTGAGGGAAGGGATTCTGTAGGTGTGCAGGAAGGGGGCTGTGCCTCTCGTCAGAGGAAAGTGTTGCTTCCTGTGTTCTTTGAGCAGTAAAGCCGAATAACTCCTCATCCAAAAAGCAGGGATAGTCATGGGAAGCAGAATTCATCTGCTGGAATATCTGCCAGCAGGAGCTCTCAAACCAATTAGAGTCTGACTTGCTGTGTGGTCTTTCCTTCTGGATCCTGCACTCCAGGCAAGTCATTCACAGCAATAAAGGCCTGAGCTTTTTCCAGTGGTGCAGGAAGCCTTGTAAAGAAACCCTCTTCACCCTGGGAGTGCATATGGTCTGGGTTAATGGCTGGAAAGCTGTTTGGGAATGCAGCAAGCTGTTCTGCAGCTCCTGGGCCACGAGAGGCCTCAGAGTTTGCTGCAGACTCCTAAGGAATCCTGCAGAGCTGATCCCGTGGGCTCTGTGCCTGTCCCTCTGCAGGTGGATGGTTTGTTCATCATTGGCTGGATGTACCTGCCCCCTCATGACCCTCACGTGGATGATCCCATGAGATTCAAGCCCCTCTTCAGGATCCACCTCATGGAGAGGAAATGTGCCACGGTGGAGTGCATGTATGGCCACAAGGGACCTCACAATGGCCACATCCAGGTGAGCTCTGCCTCCCTCAGCATTGTGTGTGCACTTGGGCTCTGGAAATGGGAGAATTTTATTTCAGAGATAACGGCTTTCACCTCCCTGCTGCATGTGTGGGCACCAGCTTTACACTCATTATGTGTCTGACAAGTTGTGTGGGCTGTTGCCTGCTCTGAATTTGTTCCCTGGCAATGGCACAGCCAGGCTGTTGTGCTGTTTTCTGTTGGGCTGGGAGCACCAGGATGTGCACAGGCTGGGGAAAGGATGTGTAAACTGGCCTTGGGCAGCTGCTGAGGGTGCCCAGGCAGACACAGACCTGTTCTGCAGCTCTCTCCACGGTGAGGCCTTGAGAAGGTGATGCAGCATCCATTGGATGCTTTAAAAAGCTTCCTGACAGGTTGTTTTTCTTTAAAGGAGGAATCTGAAATTGGGAAGCAGCTTAAAACGATTATTTTCATTAGAGTGCATTGAGGTTTTATTGCTTTCATTTCTCTGTTCTGTAGCTGTTGCACTCGGTAGCAATGAATGATTTCTCTGTTGTAGTAAATCCAGTAATGTTTGTTTTGTAAAGCATTTACTGTGAGCAGTCTTAGCTACATCATCCCAGGTATCTCTAAAGTGCTGTGTAACCTGTTCACTTCTCCTCCCTGGTAACCACAGATTGTAAAGAAGGACGAGTTCTCCACGAAGTGCAACCAGACAGATCACCACCGGATGTCAGGGGGCAGGCAGGAGGTGAGTGCTGTGCCAGGGCTCTCACTGAGCCTCTCTGTGTGTCCCCTCCCTGAGATCTCCCTGCTGGAGGGGTGTGGGACGTGCCTTCTGATTCCTGTGTGATTGGGCATGGATGAACCCCCAGGCTGGGAGCTTTTGGCTCATTCCCTGTTTCAGGCAGTTTTCTGTGTCAAGGTGTTCTTTGAGCCCCAGCACCTTCCTCCTGTTTTGGTAGCAGACCTGTCCAGGGAGGCTCAGCAGCACATCTTGGTCATCAGCAGCACTCCAGGCACTGATCTCATATAATTAAGATAATTAAGATCTTTCAAACACAGTGAGCACCAGCTGCACTTGGATACCTGCTGGTCAGGGAGGCACCTTCCCACTGCTTGCCTTGCTCGAGGGATTCAAAGCTTCATTTGGTTGTTTCTCCTGTGTCTGTCAGCCCTACCCAGCAAGGCAGATTCCTGACTGAAATACCTGTGTTTAAATTGCTTAAATGCAGGTGTAAATGGCAGGATGAATACTTGTGCCAGGTACTGCTTCCAGTTGGTTCCACGTGACAAATCTGATATTTCAGCTGCTTTCTGAGGAAGGCTGTAAAATGTCTGTCTGCTAATTGGAAACAGCTGGGTGAAAGGTTTACTGAAGTGTTTTCTGGTGCTGCAGCAGATGAGAAATGCTTTAATACTTTCAAAGCACCACGTTAAGTGTGCGTGGCATTATGGAAATTGGAGGATCTGGCTTGGGAAGATAAAGGAGGCAGGTTTGGAATATCACTTGGCAGGCTGCTATCTCAGTGTAAGCTGTTATCACACCAACTCATGGTAGGGTATTAACTTGTCAGAGCTGCAGTTGGGATACTCCAGGAGATGCTTTCAAAGCACCCTTTACATTTAGATGCATCAGTATTAAATCAGCAGGATTTAACCTCCTAAACCCTCAGTGCATTTCAAAAGCTTTTTTCTTTTGTGTTGAGCGTGTCAGGACAGGGCACAGGAGTCAGCTTGTGGGCACACAAATGAGTTACTGTGAGAGAAAGAGTAGATGAGCTGCTCTGCAGTGACAGGCCATGCTCATGCCTTTCTTCTGAGGAGGTTTCTGCTTCTACCTGGGATTTATTTGAAGGGGAGCCTGTTTATTGTGTGATCACTGGCAGTTACCAGAATCACTACTCCTTCAGCCTATTTCCAAGCCAACACGTGCTTGTTCCCAAATCCAGCCACATTTCCCTGTCCTTGGCAGAGGATGTGCCCTGTCTGTGGCTTTGCCAGTGAAATGTGCTGTCACAGAGTCACACAGTGAAGCCATCCTGGGGCACATCACTGAAACGACCTCATCCTCCCCCTTTTCTCCTCGTGCTGCAGGAATTCCGGACGTGGCTGAGGGAGGAGTGGGGTCGGACTCTGGAGGACATTTTCCACGAACACATGCAGGAGCTCATCCTGATGAAGTTCATCTACACCAGCCAATATGAGTAAGGGCTGCTGCACCTTCACAAGCACACTCTGGAGCATTTTTCCCTGAGATGGGTTTTTCCATGGGCTTTCACAGCCAGAGGAATGTTGTGTCTCTGCAGTGCTTCCCAGCTGCACAGGGAGATGAGGTAGAATGACAGCAGTAGGAACAGGATTCCAAGTTCTACACAATAACTATGCACAGTAAGGTGCTTTTGAGCCATTTAACTCTGTTTAATTTGAAGACAGAGCAAATGCCTGTGATCCCAAGGAGTGTCTGGTTATTATCCATATTAGTCAGTGTGCTTTGTAGTGCAGGAATTAGAGACTCCCTGAGAAACTGGGGATTTTAACCAGCTCTCCAAGCTTTATTAGCAGCCATCTCACTGTAGCAGATGTTTAAATATGCTTCACTCCCAGGTTCTCTAGGAATCTCAAGGGCTGAGGAAGTTTCCTTGCTGCAGGAATCTCCTGGTGTGCTCACGAGGATGGTGGGGAGAGCAGCACAGGGAGGGAGGAAGTGCTTGCAGAGCTCTAAAGCAAATCCTGATCTTGCTGCAAACACAGATCCTGCCTGTCTTGACAACATCCCCAAGCTGCTGGAGGAGCAGAATGCAAACACACTGCTGCTGCTGGGGAGGGGTTTTTTTTCTTGACTTCTCTGGTGTTTTTGTCTTGCACAGCAACTGCCTGACGTACCGGCGCATCTACCTCCCCCCCAGCAGCCCCGAGGACCTCATCCAGCCCGGCCTCTTCAAAGGCACCTACGGGAGCCACGGGCTGGAGATTGTCATGCTGAGCTTTCATGGGAAGAAAGCCAAGGGCACCAAGATCACTGTGAGTGCATTTTCCTTTCTGCTTGTGAAAGTGTTCGCAGTGGATGTGCAGGAGAGAGTTCTGTCTGGCAGCTGGCAGCTCAAACCTTGTTCCTCGTGGGGATTGGTGGCACTGGGTGAATCTCGGCACACATGGAGTGACCAGGACCTGCTCTCTGCAAAGTTGCTCAAGCTCCCCCTTCCTTTCCTTTCCCTTCCAGCTGCTTTCTGTGAGCAGCTGGTAGCAGGTCACTGGAGATCCCCTGTGTGTGTGTGAGGAGCAGGTACCAGATGTTGGCAGCTCTTCACTGAAAGTCAGGCAGGGGAGCTCCTTTCCTCCCTGCAGGGAGGGATTCTGCAGCTGCAGCTTCGACTTTCTTTCACCCTTGCAAGAACAGCTTTTGATTTAAAGTTCTGGTTCTGGGAGAGGGAAAGCAGAGGTGGCAGAAAAGATCCAAGCAGGGTTTTTTTATTGCCAGCTTGGTGATTGTAGAACAGGGCGAACTATTAACGAGGTCAGGTGATGGCTCTGTAGCACTGGTGTCTGTAGCCGTGCTGTTCCTTCCTGTCCTTAGGGAGATCCCAACATCCCAGCTGGACAGCAGACTGTGGAGATAGACCTGGCACATCCTCTGCAGCTGCCTGACATCGAGATCCTGCGGGACTTCAGCGAGCTCTCCCGCATCGTGCTGGAGGTGCAGGAGCAGGTCCGGCGGGAGGAGCAGGAGCGGGAGCAGCGGCAGGACGAGAAGGAGCATTCCCAGCAGGCTGCCTCCCAGCCTGCCAGCCCCCTGGGAGGAGAAGGTGCTGAGGGGGAAGAGACTGCAGCTGGGGCAGAGGGGACGACCCAGGACAAGGCCTCAGCTTCCCAGCCCTTCGTGCTGCCCATGGGAGTGATATCGAGGAATGAGGATTATCCCCGCACCTGCCGAGTCTGGTAACTGGTGGATTTATGCCTGATGCATTTTTAAAAGGGAAGGGGGAATCTTTGAGGTGTGTCCTGTATTTGTATGTCCTTTACCTGCCTGTGGATGTCCCAGCCCCTTGGGCTCAGATTTCACAGAATCCCAGAATGGTTTGGGTTGAAAGGGACCTAACACCCCATCTTTTTCCACCCCTGCAATGGGCAGGGACACCTTCCACTAGACCAAGTTGCTCCAATCCCTGTCCAACCTGGCCTTGAACATTTCCAGGGATGTGGAATCCACAACCTCTAGTTCCTGCCTCTACTGCCCAATTTCCCACACTCTGATTTGTTCCCTCTCTCACCACGCTGTCATCTGCCATCCCACTTCCTTGCTAGATTTACTTCAGAAGCTGGCACCTCTTCTGAATTCCACACACACCCCCTTTTTTTTTGGTGTGTTTTATGTCCCAGAGCTCCCCAGCTCATATATTTAGAACTGTTCAAGCTGCTTCCCATTCCCACGTGTGTCATTCATGTCCTTGGCTGTGGGAACACAGTGCTCTCTCCCACCTTTCCCTGGCCTCTGGTGCCTTGGGGCAGCTCTGGCAGGTGCTCAGCACCCCAAGCAGGAGGTGCAGGCATGCAGAGAGCTGTGCTGAATGGGAGCTGGAGTTGGTGAAGCAGCACACTAAATGAAGTGTGGAAAAAGAGCCCAAAAGCTGAGGCTTAGACAGGTGACCTTCAGCCAAACATCTGTGCTCATGGAAAAACCTACCCAGAGCTGGTTAATCCCAGAAGGCTCCTGCTGTCACAGCTCAGTTGTGTTTGGATAAAGCCCTGCTCCACCTGCTGCTTGCTCAGAGCTCTGACTGACCTTTATTCCTCCTCAGGTCCTGATAGATTTTTCTGCTTTTTGGATTTTCCTCTCCCTTGAGTTTTGCCTCTCTGGTCACGCTCTCAACATGCCTTTGCTTTCTGGGAGGATTGAGCCTGTGCTGATCCTTGAGTTGCACAAGTTAATCTCAGATGGGTTTGGGGGCTGAAATACTGAAAAACCCAGCTTTGGTGTGCAGGTCCTGATTAGGATAACCCAAAGCTGGAACCTGCAAATAGCAACGGGGAGTTCCTTATCTTAATAGAAAAACCGAGTGTAAACCTCGCTGTTCTGCCACACAGGCAGAGTGGCTTCGTCAGAGCTTTGTGCTGATTTTTTAACTAAATCCTGGGTGATCCTGGCTGCTCTCACACCTGTTTTGTCCTCATCCCCTGGCAGTTTTTACGGGACGGGGCTCATTGCTGGTCACGGCTTCACCAGCCCCGAGAGGACGCCGGGGGTGTTCGTCCTGTTCGACGACGACCGCTTCGGCTTCATCTGGCTGGAGCTCAAATCCTTCAGCCTCTACAGCCGCATCAAGGTCTCCTTCCAGAACGCCCAAGCGCCTTCCCGGGAGGCCTTTGATGAGATGCTCAAGAACATTCAGCCCATGGCTACTTGATGAGTGTTTGTGGTGAAGGACAGGGCTCGAGGTGGCAAAGGCTGCTGCGCTCCCCAGCCGGGGCTGGGGCAGGGAGTCCTCGCTCTCGGTACCTCTGGATAGAAGCATGCACTTTGAATAAAGCCTTTGTACCCCAAACGTGCACACATCCCACTTCAGACATCCCTGACTGCCCTTTCCTCTGTGCCACTCCACGCTGCTCCCCAGAAGTCCTTGTTTGCCAGTCTGTGCTTTGGAGAGCTGAAGGGATCCTGCAGAGGAGGGAACAGACCTTCCTTAGTGCAAGCAGAGAATGTATTGGGACAAAACCAACTTCTGGTCAGAGCTGGAGAGTGGGACAGGCAGTGCCAAAGCACATCCTCCTCTCCAGAAACCTTTCTGTGGGTGCAGCAATGCCAGAGGGGCTGCTGTGATACCTCCATCCTTGCTAATTGCAGTGTGTGCTTTCCTCTGGAGAATTCCCTCAGCCAGGACAGGATCCCCACTGCAGATGAGTGTGTGCAGCATTGTCCTGGCTCCTGGAGCTTGTTGGATGTGCTGTTTCTGAAGCTCCAGGTCTGGGTGTCTCCCTGAGAGCTGAGATGATTTTTTTCCTTCTTGCAGGAGCTGAGTGTGGGACTGGAGATGGGTGCAAACTGCAAAAGCTCTGATGTGTTCAGAGTGGTTTGTACCTGAAAGATTTTCTCACATCTTGTAAAGTGGGTCTGAAAAGGCACAGGAAGGAGCCAAAAGAAACCCAGCTGTGACCAGATGGGCAGCAGAAGGTGCCACATGTCACTGGTGTGTGACCCCAGGGCTGCCATTCCTGTTCAGGTTTGCCCTTCAGAGTCCAGAGTGACGAGGGATTGTCCTTGTACTGTGTGGCTTGTTCTGGCTCCTGGAGTGGTGGGTGCTGCTGCCCCTCTCCCAGAGCCCTCCTTTCCTTTCTTGTTGTACTTGTTTGATCCCAGATGGTTTTGTGGCAGATCTGAGCTCCAGTGGGAATTATGTGGTGCACAAGGGAGCAGATTCCCTTTAGAATGTGCTGTGCAGGAAAATCCTGGCCAGTGCTCATCTCCAGGCTGTGAGTTGTGCTAGAAACCATCAGCCCTTTGTGGCTGTGATGACAAACTCCAGGTCCCTTCTCTTCTCCCCAGATCAGTGTCTAACAAAACCCTGCTGTTACATCTCTGCAGTTTTAGGTCTGTAAATGTGTCTGTATCTGTGCTGGGAGGTTTCAGGCCCCTTCTGTGGAGAAGTTTCAGTCCCTGCCTGGTTCCAGTGCCTGTGAGCAGCTTCTCACTCTGACAAGGGCTTTTTTCCATTTCTGGCTCTCATGTGTTCCCTCATCTGTGTGAGAAGCCAGGCTCCAGCAGAGACAGCGAGCAGCAGCTCATGTCACTCACAGGATTAATTCCTGTCTCTCTGGATAGAGCTCCCCAAACCTCTGGGAATGTCAAGGTGATTTAGGGCACTTTTTGCTTTGTTTCTTGCAGCTTTGTGAGGAGTGGCAAGCCTGCCTTGGTGCTGGGGGTGAGGAGCTGTTACAGGCCTGGTGAATAGGAGGAGCAGGGTGGTTGTCAGAGGTTTTCCTGCAGAGGGAAGAGCTGGGATCACCCGGGCTGGGAGAGAGGCAGAGGCTGCTCTCTGTGCCTTGCTGAGTGGGCACAGAGGGGCCCTGGAGCTGAAATGGGACATCTCAGCCTTGTGCTGCAGCTGCTGAGCTCTGTGAGAGCTCCTGCCTGCTTTGCAGACAGGTTTCCAGTTTGGTGCAGCTTTCTGGGACTGCTAAGGATGTTCAGTGCTGGGTTATTGGTTGGACTCGATCTCAGATCATCTCCAGCCTAAATGATTCTGTGATTAGGGCTTTATTTGGTATCTCAGTGGCCTGTTCATGTTGGAATTTGCTGTTAGGCTGCTGCAGTTCTGCCTTGTGTTCTAACAGCCCAAAGGGATGGGAGATGTGCTCTTGGGCTGCTGTTCCCATTGCCTGTCCCTAAAACCAGCTCTTCTTCAGCTGGATCTGTAGCTCTGATTGCAAATTCCTCCCCACTTCAATATCCCCACAAAAAAAAAAATCCTAAAATTTTACACAACTGACTTGATAATTTTTGCTTTTAGCTTTTTAAATTACAATTATTTTTTTTTTTTAAATGGAGATTAAAATCCAGATTGCATTGATTGCCCTGCAAGTACCTGAGGCTTGAGTCACTCTCCCAAGTACTGATGTATCTGTAGCCTCTGTCCTTTGTCACCTGGGCAAGGTGTCACCTGTTTGTAGTTGTGCATCTGCTCTTCTCCAGGCCCTTTGTCCCTTCTGAACCTTTCCAGTGGCAGTGCCAAGGGTCTCCTGATGGCCAAACCTGCTTGGCTGCCTGGAGAGAAGGGCTTTGGTGTGGAGGCTGATGCCCTGTGGGAATTTTCCCAGCTCTGCCTTGCCCCTCCCTGTAGAGGCATCTTTTTATTCATAACTCACCTGTCTGGCCTCAAAACGTCAGGATAATTCCTGATTAAAGGGAAAAATGCTGGTACCCCTTGGCTTCATTCTGTCTGGAGCAAAGGAAGCAGCAAATTTCGTATTAATGTTCCTCTGATGCCTTTTCTCACCTTCTGCTTCTCCAAGCCTGGCAGGCTTTCGTGGCATTTCAGAAGAAAATTCCCTCTGGTTTGGCTGAGGGTGAGGAAAGCATCCAGTGAAGATGGATTTGGGAATGCTGGGATGCTCCTTTGTGCGTGGCTCTGCCAGTGCTTCCAGAGCAAAGCAGGATAACACGGAGTTAAAACCCCCAGCTCTGGAATCATTGGGAAAGAGGAGACAGATTTAGAAGCAGGAGGTCTGGATTTGATCCCCAGTGGTGAGGGGGATGCTCCTGCATTCCCTGTGCTGCCTTTCCTCGTGGGAAGCTGTGCTGGGCTTGGCTGGGCTTGCTCATGCTTGGTACAGACTGTTCCACCCCCTGCACAGCTCTGCATTCCCCACTGCTCTCCCAAATCCCAGTTTTGCAGCCCGTTGGGATCTTTGTGAGAGCTGTTGACAGGGATAATGTGTGCTGGGGCCCTGCAGATGGTGATAAATCTCTGCTGCCGACGTCTCCTCGTCCTTTTGGCTCTGCAGGAAATCTTGGGGACAATTGGCTGGATTTCTTCATCCCAGATGGGTGGAAAGTGCTGGCGAGGATGGAAAACAACTTGTCAGGGGTAGGAATACTCTTGGCAGGAGCCTTTTGGATCAAACAAAGCCTTTGCAGGGAGGTTGCAGAGCCCCAGTGGCCACTGCGAGACCCGGAGCTGAATTCTGGCTTGGGGACAATTTGGGGACAAGTGTCTGGTTCAGTGTGCTGGGGATGGGTTCTGCTCCTCCATCCTGCTCCCTGTGTTGTCAAAACACGTGGATTTGGCCAGCTGGAAAACAGGAACATGAAAGCTCCAGTTTGTTTGCCTTGGGTTCGAGAGCTGTGAATGTGCTGAGCTCAGGCCTGGTGGTTGTGGGGGACTCGCTGCCCTCCACGGGGATTTGTCAGGCTGGATTTTACTGAGGAGGAGGAAAAAGGATGGAATTGTTTGTAAATTTGGGTGAACAGCAGTGCTGGGACAGCAGCAGTGGGAGGGCAGTTCCTTAGGAAATTGTGTGCTGGGGAAAAAGGGAATTCTGTGCTCCCAGGAAAAGCCCAAGCCACAACTGGCTCCGTGTTTACTTTTCAACAAGGATGAATTTTTCTCGGCTTTTTATTAATTTAAACCTAGTGGAACTTGATGGGCGTGTTGGGTGTTGTGTGGAAATGGGTTGTTTAGGCTCAACTTGCTAGTTTAGGGAATGGTAATGTGTTAACTCTGTCTTGTAGCTGGCTGCTCACGTGGCCACTAATCCTCTGTGCTGCTCAGCTGCCAAAGGCTCCTGTGCCCTTCCCGGCGGGACAGGGAATTCTTTGGGATGTGGAGTGGAAGAGAGAGGTACCCAACTGTGAGTGCCACTGAGCTTTGGGTGCTTTGTGTGCTGGACTCAAATGTGTGGTTCTGGTTTTTTGTGTGGATTGCAATCCTTGGAACTTTTGAGGCAAAGAGCACTTGGCTCGTCTGTGTTCATTAGCTTAATTAAAGCAATCTGCACTTTTGTTTTGTCATTGATTACTCCCCCTTCCCCGTTCCAATGTGTATTTTGCACTCACCACTTTAACATGACACTGATGGATTAATCTGGGCATTTTCTGTAGGTTTTGAGTGTGGGTAAGTCTCTTTATTATAAAAAGTATTTAAAAATGAAGGTGAAACATAAATCAATGCTTTGTACAGAGGGTAGTGGGAGGAAACCATTGGACATCCACCACCACGAATATCCATGTGGAACAGGATAAGTTGCATTTTAACCACCTCACCTGTCCAAGGGCTGGGGGTTTGCTGTTCTTTTCTTGGTGACTTTGAGAGGAATGGGATGTGTAAAATCAACATCTGGCTTACTTCACCCAGGTTTTGGAAAGCTGAGCAAGCCCTGTGTGTTACTTTTACACCTGATCATTGTTACCCAAGGAGCCTTTTCCAATTTCAAATAATAAAAAGCAAAGTTTTGTGAACTTAGTTCTGTTTGCTTCCTTTCCCCCCCCCCCTTGTCCCAAAGAAAAAAGTAGTTCCACCCTCCTGATGTGCCTGTCTTCTAATGTGGGATGGGAAAAAATTTTCCCTTGTTTGGGTACTTGGTGAGCAATTCTGATTCCCTGAAGATGTCAGACACACATCCCACAGCTCATGCTGTGAAATCCCAATTCTTGCCTTGTCCCTGTTTCCTGTTCTCTCCTCCTGGGGTGCCCGTGGTGCCTCTCAGAGCAGATTTGGGCTGGCAGAGCTGCCCCCCTGAGCCCTGGCAAACCCTCCCTGCCCTCCCAGCCCAGATTTCTCTGCCTGAAAGGAAGCCTGAGGTAATCCTGGATATTTTTATTTCCCCCTTCTTCTTTCCACACGATCTGAAAGGGATCAGCTGGCACCAAAGCAGCACGAGGGATGAGCAGGGGGAGGCGACGGTGTCAGTGGGATCAGGCTGAGAGTTCTCTGGGTTTCCTACACTTCAAATTCCCAAATTCCCACCCCAGCTCTGCTCTGCTTTTCCAAGGGATTCTGTGGGAATGGGAGAACTGCCATGAGCTCAGCTGCCACCAAGGAGCTTCTCCTCCTCCTGCTGCTGCCAGCCCCGTGTTCCCTGTCCTGCCTTTCCAGGAGGGAATTCTGTACTCTGAGTTTTGCAGCCCAGTTTTGCTGGGAAGTTCCTTGGCAGCTGATGGTTTTTGGGAGCAAACCCTGGCCGTGGAGCTCTGAACTCCCCAAATTCAAAAAGGAACTCCTGATCTGGCAATGGCTCTGCTTCAGTGCAGGTGCTTAATGCAGGCTGGAGTGCTCTGTCACAGCTCAGTCCTGTGCTCTGGATGTCTGGCATCTTCCATTTCCCAGTTTTAATAGAGTTTTAATATGGTTACATTTTTTTACTATATTTTCTATATTTTTACTATAGTTTTACAATATTTATTTTTCTGTATTTTATTTTTCTATATTTTCTATATTTTTCTATGTTTTCTATATTTTAATTTTTCTATATTTTTCTGGTTTTTATGTTTTCTATATTTTTCTATAATGATTTCTATATTTTATGTTTTCTATATTTTTCTATATTTTCTATATTTCAATATATTTCTAGCTATCTTATAAAATGATACAAAATATAACAAATGATGTATGTTTTATATAACCAATGCCTTCCCCTCATCCCATGAGGGGGATATATAAAATAGTTATTAATAACATATTTTCTATATTTTTCTATGTTTTATATATTTTTTTTTATGTTTCATGTATTTTTCTGTGTTTTACATGGCTTCTTCCTAAAACCCACAAAGCTTTTGCTTCCAGACAGGAAGGGAGTTGAATCTCCATACTTAAACAAAATTAAAGGTGGGTCTCCTTTCTTAAATAAATTCCCCAAATACGAGCCTGAAATCACTTCCCAGTGTGGAGCCTGGGGGAAGGATGGGCTGTGACAGCCTCAGGCCCTGCCATGCCCTCTGCCTTTCTCCCCACCTTGCTCTGTGCCCAAGCTGGCGTTTCCCAGCTTCCAAGACTTTTGGAGGCACTAAAGAGGAGGAATTTTGGGCTGTCCGTGCTGGGTTCTGCCCTGCCCTCTGCACCATCCCAGTGCATCGCCCGCAGGAGGGTGAGCAAACTGTGTTCCACTCAGCCCAGCTCCCAGCAGGAATTGCCTTCCTGGAGAAGGTTCATTAATGGCTAATTAAAGCCTCCTGAGCTCCTTCTGTAGCTCCTCGGAGCTGTCGCTCCTTTCCTTGCCCAGTGCCACGACCCGGCCGTGCTTAACCTCCGTGGGTGGTGGGCTCTGCTCCCGGCTCCTGGTTTAATGGCACCTCGTCCCTTCAGAGCCCCCGTGGGTTCAATCCCTCGGGATTCAGTCCCGTGGGTTCATTCCCGTGGATTCAGTCCCGTGGGTTCAGTCCCGTGGATTCAATCCCTCGGGATTCAATCCCGTGGGTTCAATCCCGTGGGTTCAACCCCGTGGAGTTCAATCCCGTGGATTCAGTCCCGTGGGTTCAGTCCCGTGGGTTCAATCCCGTGGAGTTCAATCCCTCAGGATTCAATCCCGTGGGTTCAGTCCCGTGGATTCAATCCCGTGGGTTCAGTCCCATGAGTTCAATCCCATGGATTCAATCCCGTGGAGTTCAATCCCATGGATTCAGTCCCGTGGGTTCAATCCTGTGGATTCAATCCCGTGGATTCAATCCCCTGGGATTCAGTCCCATGTGTTCAATCCCATGGATTCAATCCCGTGGAGTTCAATCCCGTGGGTTCAGTCCCGTGGGTTCAATCCCCTGGGATTCAGTCCCATGTGTTCAATCCCATGGATTCAATCCCATGGGTTCAGTCCCTCGGGATTCAATCCCGTGGGTTCAGTCCCGTGGGTTCAATCCCGTGGGTTCAGTCCCTCGGGATTCAGTCCCGTGGGTTCAATCCCGTGGATTCAGTCCCCTGGGATTCAATCCCGTGGGGTTCAGTCCCGTGGATTCAATCCCATGGATTCAATCCCGTGGAGTTCAATCCCATGGATTCAGTCCCTCGGGATTCAACCCCATGGGTTCAGTCCCGTGGGTTCAGTCCCTCGGGATTCAGTCCCGTGGGTTCAATCCCGTGGGTTCAATCCCATGGATTCAATCCCGTGGGTTCAATCCCGTGGGGTTCAGTCCCGTGGGTTCAATCCCGTGGGTTCAATCCCGTGGGGTTCAGTCCCGTGGGTTCAATCCCGTGGGTTCAATCCCGTGGGGTTCAATCCCGTGGGTTCAATCCCGTGGGTTCAATCCCGTGGGTTCAATCCCGTGGGATTCTCCCCGAGCAGCCGCTGCCGGGTGAGGCTGAGCCGCGCCGTGTCCGCCAGGGGGCGCCTGGAGACCGGACACGGACACTCGTGGGGTCGGGATCCACACGGACACGGAGATGGATGCTCGTGGGATTGGGATCTGCGTGGAGATCAGGATCCACTCGTGGGATCAGGATCCACATGGGCACTCGTGGGGTCGGGATCCACACGGACACGGAGATGGATGCTCGTGGGATTGGGATCTGCATGGAGATGGACATGGACACTCGTGGGATCAGGATTCACATGGACACTCGTGGGATTTAGATCCACATGGACACGGACACTCGTGGGATCAGGATTCACATGGACACTCGTGGGATTTGGATCCACACGGATATGACCGTGTGTCAGGCAGGGATTCACATGGACACCAACACCTGTGGGACCGAGATCCATACGGACACTCGTGAGATCAGGATCAAATGGACACTGACATTTATGGGACCGGGATCCATGTGGACGTGGACACTCGTGGGATCAGGATCCACGTGGACACTCACGGGACTGGAAGCCACACAGACGTGTGGACCTCCGGGACCCCTGGGACACCCCTGTGGGACTCAGCCCCTCCTCCCCTGCTCCCCCACATCCCACATCCCACATCCCACCCCTCTCCAGCTGATCCCAAGCGAACCAGCTCCCATCATCCAATCTCCCAACCCCAAATTCCCTCCCCTTGCTCCCTCCCTTCATATCTTACCTCTCCTGGAAGCATTTCCCTCCATGGGTCACTTCTCCCTGGGGCTTTCTGTCACTTTGCCATCCCCCTCACCTCCAGGAACCCAAATTATTCCTGCCCTGGGACACGCCGCCCAGCCAGAGCTGCAGTCCCGGCTCTTCCCACAGAGCCTGGTGTGACCCCAGTCCCTCAGGCCTGGTTTCCATCCCCCCTGAGCCCTCAGAGCGAGCATCCCCCTGTTCCCTGCCCCGTGCCTCCATCCCAGCCCTGCTCCCAGCCTGTCGGGATGCTTTTCCTGATCTCCCACCATCCCGAGCTCCATTACCTGCCTGCCTCGGGCCCTGCGTGCTCCTGCTAATTAAAAACAAACGAGGGGACACTGGTGAGTGATGAGCTGGGTGGATCCGCTCCATTTAGAAGTTATTGGATAAATAACATGGAAATTTAATTTTCTGCCGCTCTGGAAAACACTTGGATATTTCTTGTGCTCCTTTCCAAGCATTTTTGCCGTGAAGGGAAAATTTGCCTTGGCTTGGGACCCTTCCCAAAGATTCCTGCATGCAACGTGCTTGTTTCACCCGTGACCATGGGTCGCTGCTATTTTTTTTTTTTAGGGAGAAGGTGCCAAATTGTCGCTGTGCTGGGCACGGGGGCAGCTGGAGGGGAAACCTCCTCTCCAAAACAAGCGGATACGGCAGCGATGGGGGAAAACCCCGGCTGGGAGCCAGGAAGCAGGAGCTGGGCGCACAGTTCCCTCCTGGCTCTTTGTTTTCTCTAATTGCACAGCGAGGCCCGCGGGCACTGCCCGTTTCTTCCTCCGCAGCGGCACAAAAGCTCCGCGGAGCGGGGCTGGGACGCGCTGACCCGGCAGCACCGGGGAATGCGGCCCTGGGAGAGGGATCCGGGCGCTCTGGGCTTCCCTGCGGAGCGATGATCCCTGCCCGGCCGCGGGGGCGGCTCTGCCCTGCCGGGATGTGCTGCTCCCGGGCGGGCAGAGCAGCCTGAGCCACCCCTCACCCCGGTTACTGCGGCTGGAGCATCCCCTGGGATGGATGGATGGATGATGGATGGATGGATGGATGGATGGATGGATGGACGGATGGATGGATGATGGATGGATGGACGATGGATGGATGGATGATGGATGGATGGATGATGGATGGAGGATGGATGGATGATGGATGATGGATGGATGATGGATGGATGGATGGATGGATAGATGGAGGATGGATGGATGGATGGACAGATGGATGGATGGATGATGGATGGATGGATGGACGGATGGATGGATGGATGGATGGATGGATGGATGATTGATGGAGGGATGGATGGATGGATGGATGGATGGAGGGATGGATGATGGATGGATGGAGGATGGAGGATGGATGGAGGGATGGATGATGGATGGATGGATGGATGGATGGATGGATGGATGGATGGATGGTTGATGGATGGAGGATGGAGGATGGATGGATGGAGGATGGA